GCACAACCCAAGGACATGGACAATGGTGGGGAGAGGGACTGGGGAGGGGGAAGGAACAGGGTGGAACGGGTCATTGCGGAGAAAAAGGGACATCTGTAATATTTTAAACAATAATAAAATTTATTAAAAAAATAAATTAATTAAAATTAAAATTAAATAATAAAAAAAAAGAAAAAATGCTCAATGTCATTAATCATCAGAGAGATGCAAATTAAAACCACAATGAGGTATCACTTCACACCTGTCAGAATGGCTCCATCAACAAATCAACAAATGATGTGCTGGTGAGGGTGTGGAGAAAGGGGAACCCCGGTACACTGCTGATGGGAATGCAGGCTGGTGCAGCCACTATGGAAAACAGTATGGAAGTTCCTCAAAAAATTAGAAATGGAGCTGCCGTTTGACCCAGTGAGCCCACTTCTAGGAATATATCCTAAGAATCCTGAAACACTAATCAGAAAGAATATATGCACCCCTATGTTCATAGCATCACAATTTACAATAGCTGAGATCTGGAAACAGCCCAAGTGCCCATCAGTAGATGAGTGGATAAAAAAGCTGTGGGACATTCACACCATGGAATACTACGCAGCTGTAAATAAGAAAGATTGCATACCCTTTGGGACAGTATGGACTGACCTGGAGAAAATTATGCTAAGCAAACTAAGCCAGGCAGAGAAAGACAAATATCACATGATCTTACTTATATCTGGAATCTAAGGACCATAATAAGCTGATCAACAAAATAGATTGAATGACATAAAAGCATGGAATAGACTGATGAATCTCAGAGGGAAGTTGGGGTGGGGGAGGAGAGATTAACCAAAGAATTTATATGCATATATGCATAACCCATGGACACAGACAATAGTGTGGTGAAGGCCTGGGGCGGAGAGTGGGTTGGGGGTGCAAGGGGTCAATGGTGAAAAAAGGGGACATCTGTAATATTTTAAACAATAAAGATAAATTTTAAAGAAATAAAATCACTTTAAATTACATTTCCATAACCTTAACCTCCAGCACTGAAAACTTAGTTAAGTAAAATTGGGCTGTACTTCCTTACCAATGAAATACTTTGCAACCACTGAAAACCATGTTTTAGAAGACTAGTTAGTAAAATAACCTGGACATGTGATAAAAACTGGTTATAAAATATTCTATATACAAAACAATAAGTATAACCTGATTTTTTAAATCTATGTGGGCACAAAAAAAATTCAATAAATGGTAGCTGTTATATTTTACATCTATCTATTTGGGCCTCAGCCCTTTTCTTATACATTTGAGTAAGCTATATATTGAAGTTATAACCCATATTAATAATCTGTGTCTCAAGTTAATGCAAATTTTGCAAGTCTGTTGTCTCTTCATTTGTACAGAAGTTTTAAATTTTAACATATTTAAATCTGTTCACTTTTTTCTTCACTGGTCACTTCTCTTGTGTAAAACCATAAAAATCCTCATTCCTCTGCTGACCTAATAAATATTTTCTGCTAGGTTTTCTATAATTAGATTTGCAATATCCAATTTTGTAGAGTTTACTTTTGGGATATGGTATGTTTGGTGGGGTCCAAATTGATACAACATCCAAACTATTTATTTAAAAATCTATTAAATAATACTTCCACAATGCCTTAATTTGAAAACTTCAGCACCTTTGTGTTATATGCAGTTAGGAAATTATTCCAACTTACTTTTTTAATATAACGTACAAGAACCTCAAAGTAAAACCCAAATATACATAATAGTTTCATAAGAAATCGCAGTGAGAGGTTATGGAACAAATCATCATCTTCAAGCCATTTCATCTTCAGTGGAGCACCAGGCAGGTAAGCAATGATCCCTGTTTAAAATCAGTCTTCCTATTCAGTAGAAGGCTTTGAGAAAGTAATTGTAAGGCATATTAAGTATACAGTAGCTGAATCACCAACTGCTATTGAACTCTCTGCTTGTTTTATAAGGAGGGGCTACATTTTGGGTGACAATGTTATTCTAACCCTGACACACCTGGAAACAACACCATTCGGCCTGAAGAATCTAAAAGAAGTTAAAGAACTCATTGTTTAATCTAATCAAGATTAGATGAAACCATCATTTTTAGAACCATCATTTTTACTCTATTGATTTCCACCCCCTTCCAGATATATTAGAGATCTACTGCACACTATAGGTACTATATAAATTTGCAAAATTTTTTTGGTTTCTAATGTCTGCATCTTGCCATTCCCATTAAGATTTAAGCTCCTGGAAAGCAAAGGCTGTGTTTAGGAAGGAAGGAAGGAAGGAAGGAAGGAAGGAAGGAAGGAAGGAAGGAAGGAAGGAAGGAAGGAAGGAAGGAAGGGACTCATCTACAATCCTTGTAGCTACCTCTTTGTTAAGCTTTGCTCACAGTGACTACTCAGAGAAGGCTGCCAGTGGATCAACTATTTTAGCATTTCTGCCATAAATGATGTTTGAGAAAAAAGAAAAAGATTATATATCACTGAAAGCTTTCATCTGAATTTATCTTCCCTACTAAGTCATATGGACATGTTTCTGCCTGCAACTCACACCCAGAAGCACAAGATGGGATTATCTTTCTCTACATTTGCATAGCTATGCAGAGACTCATCCCTTTATCCAGCCTTACTTTTTGATGTAAAAAAATAGAATTGCACCATTAGGATTTCAGCATGTCTATTCTTGCAGTGACTAATTTGAATTGTGCCTTTTAGAAGCAACCACTTTAAGAAAAAAAAAAAAAATAGATGATAGATATAGATAGATGATAGATAGACTATAATATAGAATTAAAAGTGTTCTGAAAGACTGTTCGCTCAAAGTCAATAGTACCTACACTAGTGTTGTGAAGTTTCAGCTAATTTTACGTTAATAATTGTACTATTATGAATGAGTTTTGTTTTTTAAGAAATTATGTTTTTTTATCGATTTAAGAGAGAGAGAAGAAGGGAGAGGGAGGGAGAGAGAATCATGGATAGAGAAGAGAAAATATCAATCTGCTACCTCCTGCACTCCCCACACTGGAGATCCAGCCCCCCACCCAGGCATGTGCCCTGATCAGGAATCAAACTAGTGATCTTTCATGCACAGAGCAATGTTCAACCAACTAAGCCACACCAGCCAGGGCATGAATGAGTTTTTAATGCAATAATTATGTATAATTTTCCCCCAAAAAAAGGCTATATTTAATTGTTTAAAATTCTTCCTTGAAAAAAGAAAAATAGTAAGTTTAAAGAAAAGTACATAATAAAAATTTAAAAATACTGAGACAGAAATATAAAATTAAATTGATAAATAAGATGAGGGATGGGGCAGGGAGGCTGGGTGAAAAAGGTGAAGGGATTATGGAGAGAAAAAAATGAACCTCATAGCCAAACAATATGGTCATTGCCAGAGGGAAATTAGGGTGGCGGGAGACAGGAGAAGCTAAAGGGGGGATAAATGGTGATGGATGGAAAGAGACATGACTTGAGGTAGTGAACACACAATACAATATACAGATGATGCACTATAGAATTGTACACTTGAAACCTATATAACTTTATTAACCAATGTAACTGCAGTAAATCCAATTAAAAAATATAAAAAAAAAATAAGTGAGATTAAATAAATGAGTTTTAAGATAAAGCCAACATTGAAGCAAGTTTCAACCAGAGAGGGAGAGACACTGTCTTGTTTGCACCATTTTTACTCAGCATTGTTTCCATCAACTCAGCGAATATCTGAGAAAAAGCAGACAACCGGTAAATATATATTTATAGATTGAGTGCCAAGGTTGAAACAACTTCTGTTCCTAAAACCAAATGGCGTGGATTATTGGGGTGCTTGAACCACTAAATATCCATTTTTGCATAAAACAGTTTGAGTTAGATTTCTGTCCTAATACAATTCTTTTTGTATACCTTTACAAAAATAATACCTTTGCTCCGCTGGCCTGGCTCAGCAGTTGAGCATCGACCTAGGATCCAGGGGATTGAGGTTAGAATCCCTGTCAGGGCCCAGGCCCAGNTAGATTTCTGTCCTAATACAATTCTTTTTGTATACCTTTACAAAAATAATACCTTTGCTCCGCTGGCCTGGCTCAGCAGTTGAGCATCGACCTAGGATCCAGGGGATTGAGGTTAGAATCCCGGTCAGGGCCCAGGCCCAGGTTGCGGGCTCGATCCCCAGTATGGGGCATGCAGGAGGCAGCCGATCAATGACTCTCTCATCATTGATGTTTCTCTCTCTCTCTCCCTCTCCCTTCCTCTTTCTGAAATCAATAAAGATATATTTTAAAAAATAATAATATCTTTAATTCTGTCCCTTCTTTCTTGCTCGTTCCTTCTCTGTTACCTTTCACCAATCTTTACCATTTTTTCTAAGCTGTCCTCTCTTCCCATCACTTACATTTTTCTTCATTATTCTTCCCCTCCAAAATCATGATATTTGAAAGTAGAAATCATATTTGAGCTCTAGCTAAAATGAATCTTTGTGATCCATTTCCTTTAAAAGCCCTTGTTTACTTTCCTTTGTTTTTCTTTCAATAACCCTCCTTCCTTTCCCTTCATATTGTTCCCATCCTATCCCTCCTCCCCCATTTCACAGCTTCCATTTTCCTTCTGTCCCTTCCCCTCAGTTTTCCATTCCTCCCTTTCCTTTCTCCCTCCCGCCCTGACTGGTGTGCAGTGGCTGTGAATCACCCGGAGGTGTGAGAACACTATAATACTCAGCCTAAATCGCTGAGCAGAGGAATATGGAGCAAACTAAACTCTCCACAGACACGGCTAATAAAGTAAGTCAGTTTCCTCTTGAAATGCAGCCATGGGTCTGGTCCTATTATTAGATAAAACTTTATTGTCTAATGCTGCATTGAAGTTCCCATGGAAATATATGCATACCATGCTTTACACAGTGGAAGTATTCCTGGTAATTTCTAAGTCAGATTTTAAGAAAGCAAGATCATAATTGTGATTAAATAAGAACTGTTATTATTTAAAGAAACATCTTAATCTTTCTGTTAAGCAAAGTAATATTTTATAAAGCTTAAATCATCTTCCAAATGCAGCCAGCTATTAATATAGGGGAAAAAAATCAATAAATATATAAGCTTAATCTGTATAGAGATTTAAAAATAAAAATGTAATAAATAAATAACTTATAAGACACAGAAACTAAGTATCAAGGTAAGATAAGATGTTCCATGTGACTTTTTATAAGAGTGAAGTTGACTAAAAAAGCAAAATTAATATTTTTTCTTGTCCTGAATCCAAGGTAACATTTATCTTTTCTTATCATTTTCTTTGTATTATGAATTCTAATCTTCTGTTTTAAAAAAATGATTAATATTAAAAATTATAATGCAGAAATGTGGAATCTATAAACTGAACTGTGCTCCAAAGATCAGTTAGCCAATATTAAAATCTTGAATCATTTGGAATGCAAAAAAGACATCCCCTAAGAATAAAGTGTGTCAATCAGATTTCTGTGATAAAACTATTTTTTAAACTAAGACTATTTATCCATCTATGTAATAGAAGGGCATGACATACAATATAGAAAGAAAAAGATATACCTAGTATTTCTATAAACAGATAAATAGATATCGCTGGTTTCACATTACAACATTGTATATTATTGTTCACATGTGTGAATGCTGTCATTGAATGCAATAGATATCTGCATTTCAAAGTGACATAACCAACATGATCACTCAGCATAGAAGAAGTGAATTTAACTATGTTTTTCACCCAATTTTAGGTTCATGGCAATAAGCTCACTTCATTTTTTGTCTTTTTTTTTTAATAGGTTATCTTATGCCGGGCAGCCATTGCCTGGAACATAAATGCTCCCCTGTCCATAGAACTACTTGAAGTTGATCCACCAAAGGCTTGTGAGGTTCGAATTAAGGTAAATATAAATGAAACTTTTAGCAGGTGTGCATGGGATATGGTTACAATAATTTTACAGTTTTAGAAGGACATATGGCATTTTCTACTTAAAGATAATTAAGAATATCTCTGATTTATACTTAGATCTCTGCTAACATATATAATAGTGAGAGCATTTCATTTTGTTAAAGTGGAACAAATATAATAAATGCTGAAATCTCTTAATGTTTTAGATACATTTTTTTTTTTAAATACTTTGAAAGTCAACAGAGGTAATTATTGACCCATAAACTTCTTGTTGTTTTGTTGTTGTTTTTTTCACATTTATAAAGTTATTCCAATATGCTGTTATATAATAGAGCAGACATTCTATTCTCAGTGTCCATGGCTGAGAAGACAGGGGCACCCTTCCCCTACCCACTCATACATAGAGGCCTGTGGAAGCCCTTCAAGCATATCAACATAATCAGTGTCCCAGAAGGAGAAAAGAGAGAAAAAAAGGGCATAGAAAATTGAAATAATAGTGTTGGAAGTCCTTGCCCCAGCAATCAGACAGGAAGAAAACATAAAAGGTATCCAAATTGGAAAGGAGGAAGTAAAACTATCATTATTTGCAAATGATGTGATATTGTACACAGAAAACCCTAAAGACTCCATCAAAGTACTACTAGATTTGATAAATGAATTCGACAAGGTAGCTGGATACAAAATTAACATCCCCAAATCGGTTGCATTCTTTTTTTTTTTTTTAAGTTTCTTTATCTTTATTGTTGAGAATATTACAGATGTCCCCTTTTTATCCCCATTGATCCCCTCCACCCCGCATCCATCCCACCCCCAGGCTTTCCTCATAGCAATGCCTGTGTCCATGGGTTATGCTTATAAACATATAATTTCTTTGATTAATCTCTCCCCACCCACTCCCCCCTCCCCACCTTCCCTCTGAGATCCCTCAGTCTGTTCCATGCTTCTATGTCTCTGGATCCACTTTTTTCATCAATTTATTTTGTTTATTATATTCCACATATAAGTGAGATCATGTGGTACTTTTCTTTTTCTGACTGGCTTATTTCACTTAGCATAATACTTTCTAAATCCCTTTATGCTGTGCCAAAGGATAAAAGATCCTTCCTCTTTACAGCTGTGTAGTATTCCATGGTATAAATGTCCCACAGCTTTTTGATCCACTCATCTACTGACGGGCACTTGGGCTGTTTCCAGATCTCAGCTATTGTAAATTGCACTGCTCTGAACATAGGGGTGCATATATTCTTTCTGATTAGTCTTTCAGGATTCTTAGGATATATCCCTAGAAGTGGGCTCACTGGGTCAAAAGGCAGTTCCATTTTTAATCTTTTGAGGAACCTCCATACTGCTTTCCATAGTGGCTGCACCAGTCTGCATTCCCACCAGCAGTGTACGAGGGTCCCCTTTCTCCACACCCTCGCCAGCACTTGTAGTTTGTTGACTTGTTGATGGAGCCATTCTGACAGGTGTGAAGTGATACCTCATTGTGGTTTTAATTTGCATCTCTATGATGATTATCGATGTGGGGCATTTTTTCATATGTCTCTTAGCCATTTGTATGTCTCCTTTGGAGAAGTGTCTATACAGGTCCTTTGCCCTTTTTTTAATTGGATTGTTTGTCTTCCTTTTGTTAAGTAGAATTTCAAGTAGAATACAGAGGTCTACACATAAACATATCATAGCCAAAGTCTGTGTTCAAAGACAAAGACAAAGCCTTAAAAGAGAAAAATGACACATCATATACAAGAGAACCCCGATAAGATTAACAACATCCGAAGCAATGAAGTCCAGAGGGTGGTGTGATGACATATTCAAAGTGCTTAAAGAAACAACTGTCAACCAAAAATCCAGCAAAACTATCTTTCAAAAATTAAGGTGATTTTCTCCACATCCTGGCCAACACTTGTGGTTTGTGGAAAAAAGTATGGAGGTTCTTCAAAAAATTAAAAGTGGGACTGCCTTATGACCCAGCAATTCCACTTGTCCTTTTGGATATTGGCTACAAGTGATGAACCAGTGTGCCAGGGTCAGAATGTGTGACATATTTCAACTTCTTCTCCTGGGGATGGAGGGGCGGGCAGAAGGGCAATGCAAGGGAGAAGCATGAATATCTTGATACCCAGAGTCCCCTCTATTTAAGTAAAGGTATCAAAATAGACCATAAATTTTGGGTTGTCTATCACATCCCACAGAACGTATAGCTCTTCTTGGCAAATAGCTAGAAAATATTTCAATGATAATGTTAATTCAATGTGATGTTAAAGAGGCCTAAAGAAAATTGTAAAGACAGAGACAAACTAAGTGTTTTGGTCTGTTTTCTGAAACAGCTATACTGCATGAGTGCGATCAATAATATGTCAAATTTATAGTCCAAGTTTTAAAGAATATATTCTGCCTCTAGACTTGGAAATATTGCATTTTTCTGAAAGATTCAATTTTATGGCAAAGCATTTTATCTCCAATCATTTAATCACCTTTCAGATTCTGTCTTCTGGGATCTGTGGTACCGATCTGCATGCCTTGGAAGGGAGAAACATAGTACCTGTTCCTTGGTTTTGGGCCACGAGGGAGCTGGAATCGTGGAGAGTGTTGGAGAAGGTATAACCTCTGTGAAACCAAGTAAGTAACTGGGCAAGATATGGTGCCAATCCAGTAAATTCTCCTTTCCTAACTCACTCCCTGACATTGCCCCAAACCACCTAAAGATAGCCAAACTCATCACATAGTGACAAAACTATTTAAATGCATTCACACACCAGATATAAAAAATAGTCAGTCTAAGATTCAGAATATTCAAAATGTGTGTTTGACTGAAAAAACTCAAAGAAAAAGAATTTTTTCTCCACTCATGTTTGTAGACATTACCTCTAGTCTACCCATCACAAATTAAACTAAAAGCTACAAATTTATATAATATATTGGAATATCATTAGATTAAAATTCTACATGGTTAAAAAATTTTTCTAGACACATACACCCACACACATACACCACACCCTCATACATGATAATCCTTTAAATTGTCTGAAGTAGGTATCATCTATAATAAAGTTTCATCCAGAATTTGTAGCTACTTCTTCCACATTGGATACAATTCATGTTCCAAATACTTTGGATGAAGTTTTACAATATCACATTTTTCCAACCACAAACATATGTCATAGATATTTTATAGCTATTTCATGTATGAGAAAAAAGAAGCTTTAGCAAACTCATCATCTTATTACGTTGATTTAGCTACTTAATGGCAGAGCTAGCATTGAAACACAGGTTGTTTTACCTCAAATTCTGGGCTCTTAATCAATAATATATCTCATAATTGGTATTAATTCTAGCATCAACACTACAGTATTAATTATTTCAACAAACATTTATTAAGCACCTACTGAATGCAACACTCTGCTATGCTCCTGGCACAGAACACTAATCAAAATGGACAAGCCTCATACCACAAATATTGGTGTCATTCTTAGACTTAGCTCTCTGTTACCTTTGAATCTCGTTATTAGAGACAAATCCTCAATTTCTATTCTGTATTTTAAAGGTCTGTTTGCATTAAAATTGATTTGTTTGCATTCCAAAGTGAAATGATAATGAACTTTAAGAAGTAATAATTATCATTAAAACAAACTGATAACACCGACTATAAATAATTTTCTATCAATAAATATCGTGTTTATTGCATTCCATGCCTCTGCCCAAGCTTCCAATCACTGTCTTTGTTCTTCTTTCCTTAGGAGATAAAGTTTTACTTTGCCTCTTCCACAGTGCAGAGAATGCTGCTTCTGCTTGCACCCCAAGGGCAACGTTTGTGTGAAGGAAGAGCTAGTTTCAACTTCTTTGACTTCCTTTCACCCGTTTTGTTTTCATTGATACAGGTATTGACTGGGAACTAAAATCCTATATTTCTCTCTGTGTCACACAGTATGCTTTCTCCAACTGGATTCGTGTTAGACGGGGCCAGCAGGTTTACCTGCAGAGGACAGAAGATTCACCATCTTTATGGCACTAGCACCTTCGCTGAATATACTGTTGTGCATGAAATTGCAGTGGTGAAAATTGATGCTGCTGCTCCAATGGATAAAGTCTGTATCATAAGCTGTGAGGTGCCTCCGGGCTTCGGAGCCGTGTTTAACACTGCAAAGGTAAGAGTGTGCTTTTGTGTCGTTTTCTGTGACTCTACCTACACTCCGGGGGCCATGCAGGCAGAGAGGGTCTCCGGTCAGAGATAAACCGAAGTGGCCTTTTGTCTTTCCTGTTAACACAGGAGTATCAGTTTGAATGACTAACAGGCGTTTATCTTCTGGATTTTTAGGTCACCCCTGGTTCCACCTGCATTGTCTTTGGACTTGGAGGAATCGGCTCAGCCATTGTCACGGCGTGCAAAGCCTCTGGTGCTTCTAGGATCATCGGGGTTGACATCAACGAGACGAAATTTCCCAGGGCAAAAGCATTAGGAGTCACTGATTGTCTCAACCCTCAGAACCTCAAGAAGCCTGTTCAGCAGGTGGTAGTAGAAATGACAGGCTTTGGTGTCGACTTTGCCTTTGAGGCCATCGGACTCACTGATACCATGGTATGTGGTCTTGGGGCACAGTGAGGGGAAGCTGCCTGCCAACATGTGGGTATACATTAAATTAACTTTACAAAGACATAAAACTACTGTAATTTTTAACTTGTGCTTTTGAGCACTATACCGAAATATTTATATCATATTACCTGATGTAGTAATATAATACATCATCTTATAAGCCTTGCACTGTACCAAAATATTTATATACTTAATCTCATTTATTCTTCATACCATTTTATGAATTAAGTACTAATCCCCATTTTCAAGATTGAAAACTCTAATTGTGATTAAGATAAAGCAACTTGCCTAAGATCTCAAGGAGGCCGGGTCAGGGTACCACATACCATTCTATTCTATTCTATAATTTTTTCTCTCATATAGAAGCCCCGGAAATATGTTTTAGGACTGTGAGTCAGAAGGGGTGTGATTTCAGGATTCTGAGATGCTAATCAGCCTGTTGTTGAAACTAGGTTGCGGCTTTGGCGTCTGCCTGATTATGGGAGTAGCCCCCAGAGGTGAACAACTCTCGTTTGACCCACTGATGATTAACTCTGGGAGAACCCTGAAAGGCAGCATTTTGGGAGGTAGGTCTTTGACTTCACACCACTTTTTCCAGAAACCCGGTCACCTTGCATTGTCCTTGGCAAGAAATGGAGGAATGAAAAGGCAGGAAAAATATTCCTCTATGAAAGGAAATAGGAGACAACTTGTTAAAATAGGTATTTATTACCTGTGGGAGCAAAAGCAGATTAATATTTTGACCGTATAAAGATATAGATTTGTCACATTTCAGGGTGCTCATTGGCACCGACATTTCATCATCTGTGGGGGTCATTGTATGTCTCTGGGCGGCTCTCCAGCACCAGATAAGACTAGAACAAGATCTCAATGTGTTGAACCCCAATTGTCACCATAATAGTCACCCTAATTTGTTACTTAAGAACAAAACAGACACCTTTATTGTGGTATATTTGAATCTCTTTTCCCCAAACAATGGCTCCAAATCCCTGTCTTGGCATGCTTCACACCCACACATATTTCCAGGCCACCACTGACTAAGAGAATTTTCTGCAACGATAAAAATGTCCTAGAGCTATGCTGTCCGATCCAACAGCCACAAGCCACTTGTAGCTATTGAACATCTGAAGTATGGCTAGTGCAACTGGAAAACTGACTTTTTCATTATATTTCATATTAATTAGTTTAAATTTAAATAGCCACATATGGCTAGTGGCTACTTTAATTGACAATACACTTGCTATTAGCTTGTTCTCTGACTTTTCCTAGAATGCTCAGATAAGATTAATTTGATGGAGCTGTGGAATAGAACTTAAAAACAAGTCTTTGCTGTCAGGACAATTACTAGACAAGCATCTTAGCAAGTTATTTAAGCTCATTAATTGCCAGTCCTATCACCTGAAAAGTAGGGTAAATGATAGTTTCTTTCTTCCATGCTATATAGTGAGAACTAAATGAGAAGATGCAGGTAAAGAACTTGGCAAAAAAAGCTGACACATAAGAGGTACAAAATTGATGTTCAGCTGTAGCAGTAACAATAATTATGGTAGCTTATGGGCCCAGACGAAAGATGAGGAGGGAGGCACATATATTGCAAAAGATAACTGGAGGCTTTCTTGCTCTCTAGAAATATCTGAGTGCTCTTTCCTTTCCTCATTGATTTAGCTTTGCATGAGTAGATTGAACATAAGTAAAACTAGATTAGTACCTAGATGTCAAATTCTAGAAAAAACGTTGCCATTGACCAACCTCTTATATGACAGTTTCTTTTTCCAGGGACTCTAGATGTCTGAATTTTCCAATTTGAATAAACAATTTAAAATTGAACTATTTCAAAAGTGATTAGGCTGGTGATTGGAATGGTGAAGCATAACTGACACTGATAATTTTTTTCAGTGCTAGTTGTCCTGGTCTTTATTGGAGAAATTTATTTCCATTTTCTAACACTCTTTGTTATGTGTCTGCCATGTCTCCTTCCTTGCTCACTAAATGCAAACACTCTGAGGAAAAATCACCTTAATGAAACTCATTCTGGATGGAAAAAAAATCTGTGATGGTTTTTTCCTTTCTCTTCCATGCTCATAAGTTTCTAAGTTACTCAAACTCCTACATACCAATTGCCTAATACCCAGATATTTTAGTACAAATTTTCCTATTAAGAAACATAAAATATCTGTAGCCAGGACTCTGATAAAGAGTACCAGATATCTTAAAAAAAAAAACAAAAAACCTTTTTGTGGTTTTGTGGCTTTTTTTTTTTTTAACCATATTTTAATAGCTTTAAATGCAATGTTACATTGCATTTATAAAGAACATACCATAGTATAAACAGAACTCTGCTAGGAATATAAAGACCTGGGTTCTGGGTTCAGCTTTCCCACTTTCTAGATGTGAATCAGTGTTTTAAAACAGGATTTAGTTCCATCAGATCTGGTAAGATGACAGACACCGAGACAATTGCCTTGAAAAATGAGTTTATTATTCATAGTTCCTAAGAGGAGGGGGCCATGCCACACCATGCGGGTCCCTACGGGGAAGCACCAGGGCCAGTCAGGAGGCAGAAAGAGCCGAGGGAAAGCATGGGCCAGAGACTTACTGTGTTTTTCATGAGAAGGAACAAGCAAGGTAGGTGGGAAAGCTAAGCAAGTTTCAACAGGTTCCAAGCAATAAGGGTGGTCACTAGTTATCTGGTAACTGGCCCTGGGGTGATTTAAGGCAGAGGAATAGTGTCCCAAGCTGCTGGAGACTGATAAAAAGAGGCTGATGGGGAAGACGGGCCCATTCGTGTCGGCTTGCATATCAAAGGCATGCTAAAGCAAGCTGTTTGCTATCTCTAGAAATTAGGAAACCCTGGGAGGGGCAGTCTCTTCCCAAGTCAACAAGGTCCCAAGATATCAAAGCATCACAGAATATAGAAAATGAAAAAGCATAATAAATGCCATCAGTGAAAAATACTTAACATCTCTAAATCTCAGTCCCCTCAAAATTATAAAAATGGAGAAAATAATGCCTGCGTCTGCCTTACTCACAGTGACCAAATATAAATGGAATCTAGGCAGGGCACCACCAGCGTCTTCTACAACTGCTCTGCTAAACTACACCACAAAACACTACTAAAGAAGTAGAAAAATTTATTTCTGAAGTTGAAATGTTAAGTTTTGAAGAAGACATATCTAGAGCCTCAGGTGGAGGGAGACTGAGGTAACTGAAACCAAACCAGCCGGAAGGTGAGCTGTTGTTATAAGAAATCCTGAATGCCCTGAAGGCGAAGGAGCACTGTGTTCGGGTGGCCTTGGCCATGACAGCGCCGCGTGGCGTCACTCCAACCGCCCATGGCAGCCCCGACACTGCCCACCTATAATCCCGGGGAGTTGTGGTGCTCCTGAGTGCGAGCAGAATTCTGCAATGGAATAAATTACCTTACTTTTGATGATTAGGAAAAGAATGAAGAGTGAAAGGGTGTACTGTCTCCCACAAATGCTTTTGTCAATATTACATATGAACAATTCATTTGATTCTTTGGCTAGTTTTGATTGTTGTTTAGGTCTCTTTATTGTTGTCCTTCCGTTCTACAGAGTACAAAAGCAGAGATTGCATTCTGAAACTTGTAACTGGCTATATGCAAAAAAAGATCAACATAGATCCACTTATAACGCATACGTTCCCATTTGAAGAAATAAACAAGGCATTTGAAGTGCTACAGAATGAAAATTGGTGAGTATCTGTGTGTGACTAATGTGTGTGTGTGTGTGTAAGATGTATCTGTATGAGATATCTTACACATGTGACACATGCAAAGTTTTATGGAAAATGAGGTCTCAGCTGTGGCCAGCTTTTAGAGCTCTCAGTGGTCAGAGCATCGGTCTGCGGACTGAAGGGCCCCAGGTTCAATTCCGGCCAAGGCCACGTACCTCGGTTGCAGGCTCCATCCCCGGCCCCGGTTGGGGCTTGTGCAAGAGGCAACCAATCGATGTGTCTCTCTCACATCCATGGTTCTCTCTCTCCCTCTCCCTTCCACTCTCTCTGAAAAGAAATAGAAAAAATATCCTCAGCTGAGGATTAAAAAAAACAAAAAAGAAAATGAGGTCTCAGATCAAGTATAAGAGGGTGGTCTTGGAAAACAGTTTAGAAAATTTCAATGAAAGAGTGTTAAGTCAGTTGTAAGGAGCCCTCAACACTTTACACAGTCACTGTGTGACCTAAATGTCTACCTCTGCCTTTGTCACTGTCCTCACCTTAAAATGGGATAATGATACCTCCTCTTGTGATCGGACAGGGTCTGTGCGCAGGACAGGTCCGCCTCGGGCCCACCAGTAGTGTGTGGGTTCTTGACTTTGTGCAGGAAAGATTTTACAACACAAGTCCAAGTGGCTCTTGAGAGTATATTTGTTGAAGTTGGGGACAGTGAAATGAAAGAAGGGCTTCAGGTAGAAGAACTAACAGGAGAGAGCCTAGGTGGGGCTGCTTTGGCTCTCTGAGAAAGTCAAGTCGTGGTGAGAGAAGTGAGCTCACTGGGAAATCAGAGAAAAAGGGGGCCCTGGAGACAGGTTCAGGAGGCAAGCCAGGGACGAGCTGCTGCTGTGTGCTGCTCCGCTGGCTGTAAGTCCTGCAGGGTCCTTTGGAGTTTAGGAGACGCATGGCTGTGGAGGAAGAAGTCAAGGAAAAGAAAGATGAGGACGGGTGTGCTTTCAGGAGGGAGAGTGCACCCAGATCCCTTGTCTTGAGGCTTTTATTATCTTTCCTTGGTTGCCTGGAATTTTAGGGGAGGGTCTTAACAGAATATTCATTAGCTTTTTAGGTGTGTCCTTCAATATGTTGATTCGTTAAAATGTGTGTATAAAGGGGCCAGGGTTATTTTCTGGTTTTTTTATTTTTAAAGAATGTTGTTGAAGAGGGAGTGGACCAAGTCTGGTTGGCTCGGGACAGTCTGGAATATATAAACCATTTACTCCTAAGTGTCCTTGGTTAAGGAAGATAAAACCTTGAGATTTATTAGCTGGCTGTAAATTATTCAACTTATTTGGCCTTGTTTAATTATTTTGTCTCAGTTTCCCTTATTCCATGTGTCAAGGAATTTTCCTAGCTTCTTGCTATCCTGCCTTATTTCCCCCTTAGAGACTTTCTCCCCTAAAATCTTTTAGGGTTGATGAAGGAGGACAGTCTGTTTTCAGTAGCTGCTTCCTGCTGACAATGGTCATTGTCCCTGCCTGTGCAAGGTATGGAAGTCTCTTCCTGCCTGATCTAACGGGGACAAGGGAATGGGACCTGAGACTGGAACAGAGAGGCCACTGGCTGATTCTTCTGAAGTAGGGATGGGCTGGAATCCCCAAAGTGTCATCATCCTAGAGGAGACAAATTTGACAAGAAGGTTAGGGGAGTGGAAGGCAATTATATTAAAGCCCAGTCACCACATAACTTATCTGTAACAGGTTTTTGTTTTTGAAGAGGAGCTTGAGGTCCTTGATGGTTTCACAAGAGTAGGTCTCAGGTTGAGGTTCCTGTGGAGAATCAAAAGAAACAGATTTAATTTGAGATAAGTGAACCCAATTGGGTATCCCTGTGAGTTTTACTGCAGTTGGGGTGCTTAGTAGCACTTGACATGGGCTTTTCCATCTGGGTTGTAGTTGGGACTCAGGACAGGTGTCCCTCCAGGTTTGTAAACGGATCATGTGCCCTAGTTTAACTTGTTTGCATTGGTAGTCTTTATTGGAGGCAGGTAGAATTTTGTTTCCGTACTCCAATAATGCTTTTTGTATTTGTCCTAGATTAATGGTGTAAGACCATTTGGAAGGTTTCTTCATCTATTAGCAGGTCAGATCTGAGAAAGGGCTTGCCAAAGGGACTTACATGTAACTTTCCTTTAGGTGTAGCTCTCATTCTTATGAGACCTACGGGTAACATAGGCAACCAGGACTGTAAGGTTTCTTGCCATAGTTTGGCTAGAGTCCTTTTTAGGGCTAATTCAGAAGTCAGCTGCTTATAAAAATTTTTGAAGTTGTCATTTATTTTGTGGGACCCCAAGAGCCAGTATGGCCTGTTTCTAAAGCATTTTCAAACAAATGGGGGCTGTCCCTAAAGCCCTGAGGGAGCATAGTCCAGGTATATTGGCAAGTTTTCCCTAACATGGGGGTTAGTTCACTCAAATGCAAACAAGTACCGAGAGTCAGGATGAAGGGGATGCAGAAAAGGGTGTCCTTTAAATCTAATACAGTAAAATATTTGGCTTCTCCTGGAATTTGAATTAAGATAGTGTAGGGGTTGGGAACTATAGGATGTACTGGAATTACAGCCTCATTTACTGCTCTTAGGTCTTGTATAAAACAGTATTTTCCATTTGGCTTTTGTACTGGGAAAATAGGAGTATTGCATGATGACTGGAAAGGCCTGAGAAGCCCATGCTTTAGGTATTTTTCAGTGAGAGGTTTAACCTCTTTTGTGGCCTCAGGTTTTAGAGGGTATTGACTTTTGTTAGGGTAAGGTACCCCTGGTTTTAGAGGTATTTTGACAGGGCGTACGTTTGTTGACCTGCCAGGTATTCTAGCTTTCCATACCTCAGGATTGACTTGGAAGGGGACAGATTTTGGATTATTATTAATTCTGGTTCAGGATGAGAAGTTACATTGGCCATCAGGCATCACAATGAGGGTTTGTTATCTTTTATAGCTAATCCTTCCTTCTAGGGTTATGGTAGATCCTAGACTAGACAAGACATCCCTCCCTAATAAGGGAATGGAGCACCCAGGAACCACAGAAAGGCATGATTAAAAGTGGGATTACCAAGACTGCAGCCAAGGGGTTGAGTGAAGTGGTAGCATTGAAGACCCCATTTACTCCAGTGATCAAACAGGTTTTTTAAGAAAGAGGTCTTGGTGAGTGAGTCAGAACAGAGAAAGCAGCCCCCATGGCTAATAAAAATGTAATGGGCTTACCTGCGTGTCAAGGGGCACATGAGGCTCAAGTACTAAATTCCCTTCAGAGCCTAGGGCACTCACTTTTCCAATGGCCTTCCCTCTTACAGAGGGGTCATGATCCTGGAGGCAGTCAAGCCCAAGTCTGTTGTGGGCACTCTCTCTTCCAGTGTCCTTCTTGTCCTCAGGAATAGATTTGCCCTTTAGATGTCTTTTGTAGTTCGGGAACTGTGTGACCTTGAGGTGGAATAAGGCTTAAAGCTGAGCTAACAAGTCTTCTGTTCCCATGGCTGGGGGTGCTTTATGCTCTTCCTTTGCCCAGTCTCAGTTAAAAACACTGGAAGCTATCTCTACCAGTTGTTCAGTAGGGGCCTGGGGTCCCAAGGCTAGTTTTTGTAACTTTCTCCTGATGTGTTGGGGTGTGTGACTCCCTGTCCAGGCTTACCTTCCATCTCAGCACTGGCTAGGAACGTTTTAATGAAGGATTTACTCTGTACCTCACAGGTGGGTTTCCCCAACACTGACAATGAGAAGTGACAGGAAAGATAAATTTGAAAGAGAGTAAAGAAGAGAAAACAACTCAAGTGCCCCGCGTTGGGAGCCAGTATGTTACTGGATGGGGTCTGGGCCAGGGCAGGTATGCCTATGGCCCACCAATAGTGTGTGGTTTCTTGCCTTCGTATAAGAAAGATTTCACAACACAAGTCCAGGTAGCTTTTGAGAGTATGTTTATTAAAGACAGGGACAGTCTCTTGAGAGACTGATATGAAGATCAAATGTAAAAACAAAAAGGAAAGACCAATGAAAGAAAAAGTACTATAAAAGTATTTTATAATAGCATTTTCATTGTTATTTGCTGAGTACTGGTATATATGACCAAGTAATTTCAACTTAATTGGCAAACCACTATCCCTCACACAATATTGAAATAATCTCACTTCCACCTGAAAGTTATTTCTTTATAAGGAACAATTTGTGCTGTTTTTGTGAGTTTATTTTCAATCAACAGTTTACTATTTGATATTTCAGAAATATTTCTATTCTACATATATTCATTAAGCATCTACTAACTTGTGCTAGACACACTGGAAAAAACNCAATCAACAGTTTACTATTTGATATTTCAGAAATATTTCTATTCTACATACATTCATTAAGCATCTACTAACTTGTGCTAGACACACTGGAAAAAACAGAGTTCAATGTCATCACTGTCTTCAAGTCATTGACGGTTCAGAAAAGGAGTGCAAGACTCTGCCTACATAAATAGCTACACTTTAGGACTGGAAATCCACAAGACTCCAGATTCAAAGCAGAGAGACCTCACTTGTGACTGGGAGGTTAGGAAAGCCCTCAGGGAGCAAGTCACCCTTAAGCTGGACTTCGGGAGCTAACAGACCCACAACATTGTAGAATTTGAAACTGTGGACAAGTACCCATAAAAGAGAAAACAAAACTTGCATATAGTAAGTAGCAAACTACCCAATTTGCAAGGACCAGATTATGATTGTGTAGGGTGGTAAGTGCCAAAGTCTTGAGTGCAAAATATTTTCTATGTAAACAAGTAAGAGTGCAAGAATTTTTACATCTAAAGAAAACTGGGCTTAATCTAAGATATTTTCTTGCCTTTCCTGGCCCTGACTATATCATTTGCTTTGAAATCCCACCTAATAGTGACTGACATAAATCAACAATAGCTCTGGTTGAAATTATTAAAGTGCAATGAGTAAATTGGCTGAAATCAGTCAAGTTCCAAAGCACCTGAAAAATACAGGTGTTGGACTGTTTTGCCTTGAACCCACTTTCCAGCTCTGTGATGCCACATATTGCTTCTACATATATTGAATTCAGAGCTGATGAGACTGGGGTTATGGGCTCTAAAGCAATGTGACCAAAATAGATTTATAGAACTTTGAAATGGAGCTCCCCACTAAAATCTTTAGCTAAATATTCCATTTCTATATCCAGGCAGTATTTAAATAAATGTATCCCATTGGTCGCCAATAGTGGCAGAGCATTAAAATCCATCCATCGCTAGTCCCAGAAAAACAATAGATAGTTCCCACATTACTGACAGTGGACTAGAAGCTTCTCCTTCATAGGAAAAAATAAACATGGTGAGAATTTAACAAAATCAAGGGACTCTTCTCCATTTAAAACAAGATACTAACACAATTGTTCATAAAATGCTGTACCTGAGAAAATCTAAACTGAAAGTTCAATAACACATAGATTTTCAAACACCTTTAATTTAACATTCTCAAAAAATTGTAAAGACCAAAGTCGCCAAAATTAGAGGGGAAAATGCAAAACATGAATCAAATTTGCTGAGATAATGAGATAGACACTGATGCTAATTGATGGAGAGCATGCACTTATTTATAGGATGATCACAGCATTTACAAGCACATAAAAGGACCCCAAAGTCGCCATTTTTAGAAAATGTGTTTTAATTGATTTTTGAGGGAGAGGAAAGGAGTGAGAGAAAAACATCGATGTGAGAGAGAAACATGGATCGGTTGCCTCTTGCACGCACCCTGACCAGGGATCAAACCTCCATCCACCATATGTGCCCTGACCGGGAATTGAACTGTTGACCCTTCAGTGCATGGGTCAACACTCAATCAACTGGGCCAGGGTAACATTGCCATTTTCGTCCTTCACATTAACCATAACTCAGGTAGTGCCTACAAATAAGTCCCAGGTGTTCATTTAAAATAATTTTTTTTATTGTTGACACTATTACACATGTCCTCATTTTCCCCCTTCTTTTCCCACCTCCACCCAGCCTCCCCTCTCCCTTCCCTGTAAAATAGTAATCTTTTCTACCTTGAAACTTAATTTCAGAATTTGACCCTAGAAGAAGGCAGTTTTCACCAGCTTACAAAGTCCTCAAGCAAAAATTAGACTATCAAGAACAGTTAACGCTTTTCAAATTTACTTTATTGGAACTGGCTTGATAACTATTTACGATTTAGAAACATTAGACTTTGACACTAATGGTAAAATAAATTAACATTAACCTTTGTAATATTAACAGTGGATGTGCTAATAGAACAAAATGAGGTGCAAAGAACCTGAGATGAACTTTCAAGAGGGGAAAAAAAAAATGCAGACCAAGCCTGTGGGTTGTATACAAAGACTCTTGACCTAGAATATTATTAACCTGCCCAAGGTATTTGTAGAAACCTTTGTGCAAGGGGACTTACTGAACTTAACTTTAATAGGGTATAAACAGATGTAACCTCTGAGGTCATTTGGCTGTCACCTTCATTTTATGGGAAAGAAAATCAAGACCCAGGGAAGTGCAGTGCAATGACTTACTAGGATCACATAGCCTGTTACCAGCTCAGCAAATTCTGCATTCTTACTACTCCTTTCTCTATCTGAACCCTCCATGTTACTCTCACACCTTGTCATTTCACCCCTTGCAGATGATGCCTCAACCATGCTGAGCTTCTTTCAGTCTTCCCCCAGTCTCTGCCCCTCTCTTGTCTCTGAGCCTTCACACTTCCTTGTTCTGGAACCCATTCATGCCAAACCCCACTCTTGCCGAACTCCATGTTCCTTAACCCCTAGCCATTGTCCAAATCAAAGCTTAGCAAGGCCTCCAAGCTTTCAGAAATCTAGGTTACATACACTTTCTCTTTGTCCCATTGCACCCTCTACTTTCCCCATGATAACATGCCAAACACTGTATTGTAATTGTCTGACTATTTGTTTGCACTATTAGACTATGGATTTTTTAATATCACATTCATCATCATTGCCACATTAAGTACAATGCTTGAAACATGTGAGTTGCTCAGTGAAAATGTTTGTTTAAATGAGTGAATTAATGAGTCAAGATCCCTAACACAAATGAATTTAGAACTGCACTCATCTAGGGTACCTGCCAATATACAATGGATAATGTACATTATTCTTCATAATAGAGCACTGTTTCACAGCTATTAAAAGGAGGGTTAGCACCACAGGAGATGAGGAACAAAACTGAGAGGCTAACATTGAAGTGAAAGAGTGTGATGGTCCTCATGTAGACATTCACAACTGAAAAGTGGCGAGAGGAGGCTACGGTAGTTCTTTCCCCACCAGACCCGCTCATGGCCAGCTGATTAAAAGTCATGGAAGGAAATGCACCCTCTAACTGTGGATTCATATGAGAAGACTTCTCAGGGAGCATAATTATCTCTCTTTGCCACTTATTATTAAAGTCAAATCCCATGATTACTGATTACACACTGGACTTGATTCAGAAACATTTCCTGGTGCCTTGAGGGAAGATAAATGTAGAGATAACAAATGGGAATAAGAAGATAAATTTGTCTCTTAAAATACTCATGCTATAATTATTTTGTACTACTCATTTATGCAGGCAAGTCGGTCATTTCAATGTTTGAATTTTTGTGTTTCAGTATCCGCTGTGTCCTCTTGTTTTGAGACCCCAGATGATAAAATGGAGCATGGGCATCCTCAGCAATGCTATTTTCTCCCTTTTTCACTAGCTTGATGACTCAATTACAATATATAGAACCCAAAATTGGAAAGAGAGCACTTGTGGAATTTTAAGAAATAAAACTATTTTAATAAAACAAACTATTTTAAAACTGGTGTTTACATTTCAGCCTAAAGCTTGAAGAGAAAATAACAGCAATTTGTTAGTGATAGAAAGCATCTTCTACCTATACTAATTATCTCACTTTTAATTTATTATATCATGGATAAGCTTCAATAAACAGCTTGCGTATTTTGAAAGCTTATTTAAGGCGTGGAATCCTTCCTCAGCGCTCCATATGTTGCTGAGTTGGCTTGTTGTGAGAACAACTTCTACCAATAGTCTGCCTTCTTGGGCAAATAGTGGGAAGAGAGGTGACTAATTCTTTGAATCTGAGCTTGACATATGTAGGGCATTATTTTTCTAGTTGGAGATGAAGGGGCTGTTAACAGTGGTTCAAAAGTGGTAAAACTCCTTGACACTTAGTCTTACCTGCCTTTCTCAAACAAAAATTATGAACAAACAAATAAAACAGAAACAGACTCATAGGTACAGAGAACAAACTGATGGTTGCCAAATGGGAGGGGTTGAGGAGCTAGGTGAAAAGGGGGAAGGAATTAAGGAATACAAATTGGTAGTTACAGAATAGCCATGGGAATCTTTTCTGTTTCTTCTCAATATGCTGTTCTCATGTGGTAGCCTGCAGTCTTGGCAGTGCAGCCAAGCCATTTACCATTCCGTTTCTCTGCTCCATTTCCCCAGCCTGTGATTGAACAGAGAAACCTGACCAGTGATTAGCAATGTGATTTGGTCCCAAATTGGCTGCATTTTGAGTGTGCCAATTCCATCAACCAAAAACCATGGAATAAAGAAAGAGTGATTGGCAATATTGGGGCAAAAAAAAAATCACCATTCAATATCTTTAATAATAGTATAGTTACAAGGACAGTGAAGAAATTGTCATTTGGCTCTACTGTTGGCTAGAGACCAGATTATATGAAAAGCATTCCTGGAAATAAAAAATCATTCCAGGAAACTCCTACAAATGTAAATAATATGCAACAAACATCCTTTTAAATATATGTCTAAGCTAATAAGAAAGTAGGGAAAGCCTCAGGGGAGCAAAAAACTAAATTAGAAATGAGCAGCATCTGACCTGATGGTTTTTGCTGATCCAACAAACTGCAGGCTGGGTATTAAAGACAAAGCAAGAAATATGCAGCCTTGGACCTGGTACAATGTAGGGAGCTGAAATGAAGACTCATGCATACCCCACATCTTCCAAGAGCTGCAATCTCAAATAAGCCAAAGGGACTGGGAAATGTTCTACCCACCAGCAAAAAAAATAAAAATAAAACGACTATAATATTTTTTCATAGCCTTAGAGAGGAAAAATTTTTTATTGTATTTTGTGAAAACAGATGTACTCTCAGATGAATTCAGTTTGAGTTTATTTTAACTGCCATAAAATTTTATTGTCATGGTTCTAAGTAGGTCACATTCTAGGTCACAAGAATAAAAATATACTTTCAGCTTGTGAATCAGAAGTGCAATCAATTCAAAATAAGTCAGAAAAGGACAAAAATAAAATGAAAAGGAGTAGAAAAAGCAGGATGAAAAGAAAGAAAAATATCCACAATGATAAAAGTAATTCCAAAAATATTAGCAATCAAAATACTGTAAATGGATTAAACTCGCTAGTACAAAAAAGAACTGGAAAAAATGTTAAACTTAAATCAGTAGGTTTATTGTTAGTAGTAACACAGATAGTATGATCTTTAATATTTAATAGTAATAATATTAAAAGATACTGTTAATAAGTAAATGTATTACATTTATTATGAAACTGGGGAGAGTAAGCTAACAGTTTTACCATAAATGAGATGGAGGTACAAAAGGATGCCCAGAGAATTACTGGGACATGAATGCTCAAAGATGAGCAAGACTATCTCAAGAAAACATCAGCCAGTAGGATGTGACTCCCACTGGCCAAATTTAGGACAATTCAAGCATCAAAATAATAATTTAATAATAATAATAATAATAATAATGTTTTTCACTGATTATAACACATTGAATTTTTTAAAAGGACTCCCCGTGGTGTCAGTAGAGACCGTATGGTAAGGAGGCACTTTCCAACCCAGGAGGTGTCAGAGGAGGCCTGGTGGAGAGTTGGAATTCTCATCTTTGCCCAGAAATTTAAAAAAAAATTTTATAGGAGGACTCCTTTCTATTTCTGGGAAGATGGAGTAGAAATATTCCCTAGTCCTTCCACTAAATATAACAAAGCCCCTGGACAGTATACATAAAAAACAAACAAGAAAATCCTGAAAGGTGAAGAGGAGGCAGAAAGGCTAAAGACCTGGAGACCCAAAGAAGGGTATGGGTGTGTGAAGCCCCGACAGAAGCCTGTTATCTCCAGCCAAATAATTGAGAAAGAGAAGCTTAGCAAGACAAAGCTTTTAGATAATAACTGCTCTACTACCTCTAAACATCACCAAAAAAAAGAAAAAAGAAAAATATATATATATATAATCTCCCCACGTGTACCCACGGAGCAAAGTCTAAGTAAGGCACCTAAACTTGCACCTTCCCCAGATGATAAAGAGGTACCAAACCCACCCATGCTCTCACCCACCAGGATGCATAACAGAAAAGGCAAAGAAATATTCTGGGAACTTCAGCCACACCCAGGAATAATAAACACTGATCTGAAACTGTTAGTGGAGAGCCTAGACTTTCATGCAATAATGAGGTGCCCCTAAAGAGGCCTCTGCTCCTTATTACTTCTGGGCAAAGGTGAGAATTCCAACTGTCCACCAGGCCTCCTCTGACACCTCTTGGGTTGGAAAATGCCTCCTTACCATATGGTCTCTACTGACACCACGGGGAGTGAGGGGGGGAGGTGTGTGCAGAAGATAGCCTAATTATTCCTGGATGATGGTGAAAGTGCTGACTCTTTGGGAGTTAATGAAGGCTGAGTGGGGAATATGATTTATACTCCCACCTGACAATAATGAGGCAGTCTCCCCTTCCTCTGCCAGAGCCAGCTAGTTTGTCGAGAGGACTGGGGAAAGAGAGTCAACTAAGAGGGGGCTTCCTGGACTCAGAACAAATATCAAACTTTGACTTCAAAGCCATCTCTTCAAAGAAGTCCAAATTGAATTAGCTCAGTCTATGGAGAAATTTAATGCTCCAGGGCATTGGTGAAAAGAATAAAGCAATCATCTAGCAACTGTTAGAGCTGAACACATAACATGGTCAGGGAAACAACCCAAATCAAGCCATACCAAAACCACTGTTGTCCCAGGTGATGATATGTTTACCAAGGCTGTGCCCTCTGAGGAGCAACATCAGAGTCTTCACACAGGGGAAGGGGGAAGTAGACTTTCCTAAAGTATTCCAGCTAGTTACTAAAAAAAATAAACAGGCGAATTATTTGGTAGTGTGGACCACACTTTGGGAAACACTAATCTATCTGTTGCATATTAGTCTAAATGAGCCAACAGATACTCTTTGTTTCACTTACATTTTTTCCCTAAAGACTAGTCTTGCATTCTTCAGTTTACCATAGTCCACATCACTGCATCTCATTGTATGTGCCACTTGTTTCACATACTTACACTGCAGCCCAACTCCCATAGGCATTTTAATGTCTGCTCTTAAAGAGTGATGAATTAATCAACAAATTATTAATTTTAAAGGGATTATGTGCAAGACATTATGCTAAGTGTTTCTTGATCTACAAAGAAATAATATTAAAAGTCTCCCTTTTGAAGAAATTTATAATCTAGTTAGATAGGATATCAATATAAAAATGTTAATAGCATTTTTTATATTATTTTTCAATTACAGTTTACATTAAATAGTATTTGATATTAGTTTCAGGTGTACAGCATAGTGATTAGGCAATCATATACTTTACAAAGTGATCCCCTCAATATTTCATGTACACACCTAACACCATGCATAGTTATTACAACATTATTGACTATATTCTCTATGCTGTTAATAGCATTTTTACTTGCAAAAAATAAATGTTTTCTGCATCTAAAAGATTTCCATGAAATTTCAGTGATTGGGTTCAAGAGCAGAGAAAAGCACTTGGACAAAGGATCAAAGAAACCGTAGAGATAAAGCTCACATTATGAAGGGGAGTGCTGGAAAATAAATTTCCTGAATATAGACTAGAAGGTCTCTTTTTGTTTTACTTTGCTCAGTTGCATCTTCAAACCAGTTCAGAGAGCAATGAAGAGAATTGTTTCTTTTAACTTAACTCTGTCTTAAAAAAAAAAAAAAAGTTATTTGGTGATACACTGATGGGAGAGGATGACAGTGCCATTTTAGGTGATTCCTTCCTTATCATCAAGAGAGTAACCATAAGCACAGTCACACTAACATTCAAGCTTTAAAAGGACTGGTTTTTTTAAAAAGATCTTAGGGGGAAAAATATATCAGAGCTCATATTTATGCACTCAAGAAAAGATGTTGTAGAGGGGAAGAATGTTTGAAGTATGAAACTTCTAGAGTGGAGCTCACAAATGAGCTCAGTGAGCAAGAACAAGATACACATGGAATGATTCCAAAGGGGCTGTACAGGACTCTTAATTTAAAACACCCTTCATTTCTGAGTGATCATTTTTCATAGTTTCTATACTTTTCTCATGCTGTTGAGCATCCTTATGGTCAGTATTCTGTACTCTATATCTCATAGATTGCTTATCTTTATTTCATTTAGCTCTTTTTCTGGAGACTGCTCTTGTTCTTTCATTGGGGCTGGGGGTGGTTTTTGTCTCCCGTTATGGCTGCTGACCAGTCAGAAATGAAGAATGACATAGCAGAAATAAAGAATATATTGGAAGGAATAAAAAGCAGATTATAGGAAGCTGAGAATCAGATCAGTGAATTAGAAGACAAGGTAGAAATAATCCGTCAATCAGAGATC